GAATGGGTTTTTGATAGGGTTTAGAACAATCTGAATAAACCTTTGGAAGGGTTTCTTATACGTTGCATTTTAATAAACCCTTAAATCGTTTATTATTCTGCGCATTTTTTTACAGTGTAGATACATGTAGACCCTGGTAAATATCTGTAGAAATTTAGTTTTAGCTCTGAATTATGTTGTAATTCATTTGCGTCATCCGGTGCTACTATGTTTCACAATCAACAAACTACCCACGCACACGATTACGTATCCCTCTCCTCATCTCAACATACTACCGACTCATCACCATTTTTTCAATCTTCTCCTTTCTTCACCGATTATCGCTATTATTCACCGGATATGATTCCTAATTCTTACAATTCACTTGTGTTGCCTTCGAATGATTCGAGGGTAAACAGCCATTTAGTGAATTGGAGAATTTTTCATTCGAGTTTGTCACATGATCAACCTATCATGAATCCTCACGAACATCTCTTATCACGAACCGTGAAAAATAGTCCACAACATTTAACAAGACGTCAAAGAACGCACTGTTTGAAAGCTGATCAAAAAGCCCAGTACAATCAACAATTACTTTCAACTTTAAATCTTCTTCATTGGCCTGAATCACACTATGATTCACCAATCCACATTCATCATCGAACCTCCACATCTCGTCTTTATGGAATCCTCCAGAAAATTTCGAATGTTCATTTATATACGATTGATACGGAGTCGGGTAAACCTACTCGAATTCACCCCCATTCAATATCAGCAATTATTCACATACAAGCCATTCATGATGAACATTGGACCACAATCATTATTATTGAAGTACAACATCTTCCGTACACTTCTACTTCACTGTTTAATTCGATTCGACAAATATGTCGAATGATTTTTCCCCTCTCAATAAGCTCATCACTTGGGGTGATCTCGTGAAGAAATTACATCCCTTCCAACAATTTAATCTTTTCGATATCTCTCAAGTTACAAACACATTTAACCTCCAGGATTATTTTGCTCAACAATGGAATACAGCACATCCACATACAGCTGATTGTTTAGCTCGTCATCAACCTATCATTGAAGAATCAATTTCCGATGATTTTCTGGTGTGTTTGGTGAATTCAGATGATTTTGATGATGAATTTGATCCTACACATCCTATTGATGACTATAATACTTGTATTTGTCCTAGTGAAATTCGTCCTTATAAAACTAAACAGGCCTTATGGTCCTTGCCAAAGGCAGTTGAATTTACATTTGATTTATATTTAGATAAGCCAATTAATATGACCAATTGGTCCTGTGGACTTGACTTATATTTACATACGTGTCGTCTTGATACAGATAAACGTATTCGTCAAGCTCTAGTTTATTACGCTATCAGTGATCTTTTCGCTTCCACTCATTTATATTTTCACTTTAACATTCGCTCTACACCATCTGATCCTTTAACATATCCTATTAGCGTAAACAACATTCAACCTAATCAATTACACGCTCCAGCGATGTTTTTTATTATCACCGATAGTCATGGCAAATATTTTCCACCAATTATTCAAACACCATCCTATAAACTAATTACTTACTCTATCTCCGGGTTACAGTGGGTAAACACCTATAACACTAAATTATGTACTCGACCGTTGCTGCTCTCCTCATCTATAACATCTATTTTATCTTCGTGTACAGGAGTTTTGTTCCTCATTGGAACTAATTCCGTTCGTAATACCTTAGCGTTACAAATTATAACTCAAATTGAAGACATAATTTCTCTGCTGCGATCTCATCATCCTCATCTTTTACATAAAACCGACATAACAGTCGCCACCGTTTTCCCCTGCTATAAACCATCGTTCCGATTTCAAACACATTCGTTGTTACCGTCTAACATAAATAACTACAATGAACTTCTAAAGAATTTATCAAGTCTACGTAATTTTTCTATTCTTGATCTTCCAATCAACGGTGACCATCTGGGTCATGATGGAATGCATCTTGATTCCATAGATATTTCATATCTAAGTAATACCATTCAAGAATACGTTCACGACTTGATGAGTAAACGAATCACACCCGTAAAGTCTCTAAGTCGTTCACGGACAGCACTAAATCGTCGTAATAAGAAACGTCATGAGAAACTAAAACAAAAACAAAAGACTCATGTCGTAATTCGACATATCGATCGAATATGGCCTTTAAAATACATAAAAGCTTATCTAATGTATAAAAACATTAAATATAATCGGTTACCCGAAATTTGGCAACAAAAACTTTGTATTCAGTTTACTAATCCTGTTCATCGAGAACACGCTGAAAAAACATTGACTATTAATGATTTCGATGAACATAGTTATTCTGAATGGTGTTCACAAGTAGACCTACGACAGTTCCATATTAGTTCCGATCTTCGGAACTGTCTCACAAGTTCTTTGATCGGAACTGAACTGTCTGAACAGTTTTTTGCTCGGAACTGATCTGTGTCAAACAGTTCTTTGATCGGAACTGATCTGTGTAAAACAGCGTCGTGGTCATCTATATGGGCAGGGCTGCAACAGTTCTCGATAAGGAACTGTTTTTTATGCCACAGTTCCTGAAGAAGAACTGTTCTGTGAAAGCAGTTCTCGAAAAAGAACTGTTTTGCGGAAACAGTTCCCGAAAAAGAACTGTTCGGAGGATATGGTTCCCGAAAAGGAACTGTTGGGAGGATATGGTTCTCGAAAAAGAACTGTTATGTGGAGACAGTTCCAGAAAAGGAACTATGTATTGGGTACAGTTCTTTGAAAAGAATCGGTTCCAAGAACTGAGAGCTGTCGTAGGTCTATTCACAAGAACATTAATGCATTTTCTTTTTTTCTTTTTTCTCTCATTGTTATTCTTTTTTTTGGACTTTTGGTTTTGTTATTCAGCTTTGAATGTTATTTTTGCTTTTCCAAACATTTCTATTTTTTTCTCTCTCTCTTCTCTTCATCTGTTGCTCGATTATACCTTCTTCTAAACTGTGGAGTTGATTATTCAATCAGCTTACCCAATCGGATGGGCAGATGTCCTGATTAGTCTTTTCCACGGAAAGAGGGAGGTGTTAGCATTAACAGATGCCACCTTATGACGCTAACTCTATGAACGTAATATCAAATCGCTCATCACAATATCATGATGACCTTTTTGTATCGTTCCTTTTTTCTTTTTTCTCTATATATAGTCAGTTGATTTTGTTTTCTCTTCAGTATCTCTTCTTCTGTTTTAATTTTCAACATCCCGTTGTTTGTCTCCTTTTTTCGTCTCCCCTTTGCTATCCCTGATCTTCCTCTTTTGTTCCTCTCAATCTATCAACATATTACATCAATAGTTGATAGTTATTAATAAAACCCTTTTTTGAACCAATCTCGGACCAACACCATCTTCATCACAACATCATCAGGTCACGGTAGGATATTTATTGTGAGTTTCTCCCTAGAGAACAGACTAGTATCCCTTCAAACGTCAATTTAACCCTCGTAGGAAACGGAGGTTAAAGCCATTTGACACATCCCCAAACGAGAACCTCACATTAACGCACAAAAATGTGCTCTTTGAACGCGTTTCTATTAATAATTTTTTTCCATTCCGGCGTTGAACAGGTTTGAACTAGGGACTTTCGATTTCATTTGCCTGATACTATTGAGTTAAACTTACTGATATCAGAATAGGAATGCAATGTCTATATATATATGTGGCAGGCGAGTTTGGAATTTAGTTGAGTTTGGAATAGCTTTTTCTTAATTTTTTTTAATAGAATTTTTGTTGAGATCTGCCTTTAGAAAATTTTGTATTGATAATTATTCCTTCCATCTTT